GGGAGCGGGGCCTGGAGCCGCCCCGAGGGACGGACCCGCGGGGGACGGGGACGCGCGGCCGCGGAGCCGCTGTCGGGCTCCTTGGGAGGGGGCGGGAGCGGGTGTTCTGCTCCCGCGTTGGTCGCTTTGTTAGTGAAATGTCTTGATTAGAAATAGGAACCTGGGAGAGCCCTGAGGTGGGCGGCGAGCAGCCCCTGCCCAGGACCTTCCACAGCTCCTCGGCAGCAGTGGGAGCCTGTCTGTACGTGTTTGGAGGGGGACACAGAGGAGCAGAGCCGGTTCAGGACCAGCAGCTTCACGTGTTTGACACAGGTACTGCTGGACATGTTATTCCTAAGGGTGAGATCTGCCCTCTGCTGAACGGGGGGGCAGCACTTCCCATTCAGTCCCAGACATGGGAATGTTGGGCCCCTGCTTTGGCTGCAAGTTTAAATGGATGGGTGGGTGCTGCTCCCTCTTGACATCCACTTATCCTTGTGTATTGACTGGGAATCTGAGCCCAGTTCTCTTCCTGACACACGTGTTCTCTCATTTTTAGCCACCTTGACCTGGTCCCAGCCAGATACTCAGGGTGATCCCCCCTCTCCTCGGCAGGGACATGTGGTGGCTGCAGTTGGGACCAAACTCTTCATCCATGGAGGTTTAGCTGGAGATGTTTTTTACAATGACCTGTTCTGCATTGATACAAGTAAGTACCAGTACAGACACCACAGAGCAGTAGCTGTGGTGTGACATGTTGATTTTGGGGGACCTTTTTTCTAAAAGATCAGTCTTAAGTGCTTGAAATATTACCCTCTGATTAAAGCAACAAAACTTGTGGGTTTTTGGCAACATGTAACCACAGACATGTTCTTTTCCTCCATCAGTTGACAGGAGGTGGGTGAAGATCCCAGCCACGGGTGAGGTGCCAGGGGGACGGGCATCCCACTCCTCTGCTGTGTTTAGGGAGCACTTGTACATTTTTGGGGGAATTGGTCCAGAAGGGGCACTCAGCACTACCTACAAGTATCACACAGGTAGGGACACTTCTCTCTGCTAATGGTAAATGCTGGTCGTGGATGATTTACCTCCTAGTTCCTGGGCCTCACCCCCTGGGAGGCAGTGCCATTGCACCAGTGTTACACCAGTACAAGACTAAATGCTCCAGTGTTGAAAACAAGACTAATCAATGAGATCACTGTATGATTTTTAAGTCTGTACCTTTGCACTGTAGAGAAACAGCAGTGGACACTCCTGCAGTTTGACTCCCCTCTCCCTGCTGGGCGGCTGGATCATGCCATGTGTGTCATTCCCTGGTGTGCTGGGAAGAGTGGAGACATGGGAGCTGTCACCTGTGAAGAGGAAGCTGGGGAAGAGCCAAGTGTGTCAGCAGGTGACACAGCTGTGCCCCTCCAGAGGAGGGGAGAGCAGGGGGGCTGTGCTGAGGACACAGTCATGTACCTGCTGTTTGTGTCTGGGGGGATGGACACCCAGGGGCAGGTGTACCAGGACTGCCTGGTCAGCCTAATCCCATAGTGCTGGACTTTTCTACCCAGTTTTGTACCAGTCAGATTAAGTTAATTCTTTCCAATAAACAAAATCTTGCCCACACCAGGCACTGTGCTCACACTCTCCCCAGTCCCACACTCCCTGTGGCACCAGCACTGGGCTGCAGGTCCCTGAACAAGGGCCTGGCCGGGTTTGTGCTGTCTGGGCAGCTTTTCATGGGAGGCACTTGAGCAGTGGTGGCTACAGAAGCACTTCCACCTGCAAAGCCACACTGGAATCTGGAAACTAAGGTTTTGGGGATAGGAGTTGGGTTTTGGCTTTAGTATTTTGAAAATAAGTGAACAAAACAGATTGTCCCTCACAGCAGGAAGAAAGTAAAGTGAGGAGTGGCTTTAGGCAGCTCTTGGCACAGAAGCTCCTTCTGTATTTAGCTCTGTTTCTTAACATGAACTGGACAAAGGTCATGGTCAAGTAAAGAGACCAAATTCCAATTAAACTTTTTTAAAAACAACTTTATTAGCTCCAGACTAGTATTCAGTCTTCAGACAACTGGTCTCTTGTTTCATGTGAGACTTACAAGGCTCCTATAAATAGTTTTTTAATACTGCAGGTGGTCTTCTCTTTGCTCTGCTTCCAGCCCAGAGGGCAAAGCTGCACCTGCCAGGTAACCAACCCCCTTCAGCAGTGACTCAGGGTGGCAACCCCCCCTGATAAGGACCAGTTGCAGCACAGCACTGCAAGGACACTCAGGTCCACCCCAGATAAGCAGCGTGGCACTTGGCACAAGAACCCACCAGGGATAGAAAAGCACAAGCTAGAGCAGAACCCAGTGTAAATAACAAATTTATTGTGGTCACTTCTGGTAGAAAAGTTCTACACCAACCCACAGGACCAGTTGTTAAATAGCACGTTGCTGCTGCTGCTGCCACTTCCACACCCCATTTGCATTTACACTCCCCCCGCTCCCCGGCCCTCCCCAGACACCAAGCACCTGCTCACAAAAGCAGGGTACAGCCACTTTGGGCTAGCGTTTCCAGCTCCACTCACGAGTGAAGATTCAAGAGTTACATTCCAAATGAAGAGTTCAATATTTTAAACAAGTGTTCCTGAGTCCAATATATACACACAACATTGGGAGATGCCAGTATCTACAACTCATCCTTCTCTGCTGCCTCCTCTTCCCCCGGGGGAGGGCCGGCGCTGCCGTACAGCTTGCTCACAATGGGCTGCACAACTTCCTCCAGCTCCTTCTTTTTTGCTTTGAAGTCATCAATGTCCGCATCCTGGTGGCTTTCCAGCCACTCGATCTTTTCCTCTACTGCTTTCTCTATTGTTTCTTTGTCTTCAGAGGACAGCTTGCCCCCCAGCTTCTCTTTGTCCCCAATCTGGTTCTTCAGGGAGTAGGCGTAGCTCTCCAGCTCGTTCCGGGCATCAATGCGTTCCTTCAGCTTCTTGTCCTCCTCTGCAAACTTCTCTGCATCGTTGACCATCCTCTCGATCTCCTCTGGGGTCAGACGGTTCTGATCATTGGTGATTGTGATCTTGTTTTTGTTCCCTGTGCCCTTGTCTTCAGCTGTGACACGGAGGATTCCATTCACATCAATTTCAAAGGTCACCTCGATCTGGGGGACACCACGAGGAGCAGGAGGAATTCCAGTGAGATCAAACGTTCCCAGAAGGTGGTTATCCTTGGTCAGGGGACGCTCACCTGGGAGACAATTAAAGGTTTGTACCTTGTGAAACCAAGAGCTGCACTTCTAAGAGGCAAGGTTTTCAATTCAACCCATTATCTGCCTGGACACCTCCCAGTTTTAGTAACAGCTTTTGATGCAGGTCAGAAGCCTGATCAGAGCCACTTCAGAGCTGGCACTGCCTGCCAGGCTCTTCTCCATAAAGAGGCATCCATAAGCATCTACAAGTATCTGCAGCCTTTGTGGTAAGACAGCAGCAGGTATGAAAGTCCTATGGCCAGATTCCAGCTGACACACAGGCCACCACAGGTGACACTTACCTTCATAAACTTTGATGGTCACAGTTGGCTGATTGTCAGAAGCTGTGGAGAAGATCTGAGACTTCTTGGTGGGAACAACAGTGTTTCTTGGGATGAGCTTGGTCATTACACCTCCAACAGTCTCAATGCCCAGTGTCAGAGGACAGACATCCAGCAACACCAAGTCACCTGGAATAGATCAAAGGAACAGTCACATGACTTCATCTCATCACTGAAAAAAAGATCCTGAGGTCTCAGAAGCACAAAACTCCTTAAAGACTGAAAAAGAAGTTCCACTGTGTTTGCCAGTAACTAATATCCACTGTTCAGAGTCACCACCCTTCTGAGGCAGCAGTGAAGGTGTCTGTACCTGTATCCTGATCCCCAGAGAGAACACCAGCCTGGACAGCTGCACCATAGGCTACAGCCTCGTCTGGGTTAATGCCACGGGAAGGCTCTTTCCCATTGAAGAACTCTTTAACTAGTTGCTGGATTTTGGGGATGCGAGTAGAGCCACCAACAAGAACAATCTCATCAATATCAGACTTCTTTAAGTCAGAATCTTCCAAAACTTTCTGAACAGGCTTCATAGTGGAACGGAACAGGTCCTAGGAAGACAAACACACAGGTCTGTAAGACTCCCACATGCCTTGCCTTTAAGTCACGCAGCCTTAGTGTGCAAAGGACAACCACTACAGAGGAGGAACATCACTGGCCTTGGAGCAGCTCAGGTGAGGCCTCAGCAGTGGTTCACACACAGCCCAGCCCCCCCAGCAGGGAGCAGCTGCCTGCTCCTCAGGGCAAGCAGCAGTTATTTATACTGTGCAATGTCACAGCATGAAGTCCTGCATGTTGGCAAGTCTCCAGCCTCTAACTGGGGCCACATCATTTTACCTTTCTACACTTACCATGTTCAGCTCCTCAAACTTGGCTCGAGTAAGTGTCTCTGAGAAATCCTCTCCCTCAAAGAAGGACTCTATTTCGATTCTAGCCTGGTGCTGGGAAGACAAGGCTCGCTTGGCTTTTTCCACTTCCCGTCTTAACTTCTGCACAGCTCTGTTATCCTTCCTGACATCTTTTCCAGTTTTCTTCTTGTAGAGCTTGATGAAGTGTTCCATAACACGCTGGTCAAAGTCTTCTCCACCCAAGTGAGTGTCACCATTCGTAGCCACAACTTCAAAGACTCCATTGTCAATTGTGAGCAGGGAGACATCGAAAGTTCCACCACCCAAGTCAAACACAAGGATGTTCTTCTCTCCCTCTCTCTTGTCCAATCCATAAGCAATGGCAGCAGCTGTCCTGTGGGGGGGAACAGCCCATTCAGAGCTCTGGGACCAGCACCCCTCCCTCCCCAGCAGTCAGGAGAAGTTCAGGTACTCACGGCTCATTGATGATCCTCATCACATTCAGCCCAGCAATAGTCCCAGCATCTTTCGTGGCCTGGCGCTGTGCATCGTTGAAATAGGCTGGCACAGTAACCACAGCGTGGGTGACCTGGGCAAGGAAAGACACCCTTCTGTTACAGCAGGGAAAGACGAGCTTCTAAATCACCATAGTAATGCTAGTAACAACTGCACCTTTCTTCTTTAAGAAAGAGGAGTAAAAACCCACTGCATTGAACAGTTTAAGGATTGCAAAGTTACGCCACAGATTCAGCCCATCCACCTTTATAGTTTTGTAAAGCTGCTACTAGTAAGAATCTAGAGTAGCACTCATGAACTTACTTTCTTCCCCAAGTAAGCTTCTGCAGTTTCCTTCATCTTGGTCAGGACCATGGCAGAGATCTCTTCAGGAGCAAATGTTTTTGTCTGTCCACCTCCAACATCAACTTGAATATGGGGCTTGGCTTTCTTTTCAACAACCTGGAAAGAATAACATATGCTGTCCTATTCAACAGTTGACAGAACCATTCCCACCTCTCCAAGAGTTTCTTAAGGTTAAAGTAAAGCCTCTATAACACAACAATTCAAATGCCAGACAACACAAGGGGGTGTTGTCTGGACACCATGATTCCACAGCCCCTCCTGACCAGACACGTGGGCCCCCTCCAGCCCCTCCGTGCTCATTCATACCTTGAATGGCAGATACTTGATGTCCTGTTGCACAGAAGGGTCATTCCATGTGCGACCAATGAGCCGCTTGGCATCAAACACGGTGTTCTCGGGGTTGGATGTCAGCTGGTTCTTGGCAGCATCCCCGATCAAGCGCTCCCCCTCGGGGGTGAATGCCACGTAGGACGGCGTGATGCGGTTCCCCTGGTCGTTGGCGATGATTTCCACCCGGCCATTTTTGAAGACGCCCACACTGCGGGAGCGGAGCAGTCAGGGGTGTGGGGCTGCGCCCCCTCCGAGGGCCCCACCGCCTGCTCCCCCACCCCGAGGGCCCAGCATCTCACATCTCCCCCCCGGGGGACAGAACGTCCCGTGTGCCCGCAGGCCCAGCCCCCCCAGGAACCCATCCCCCCCCTGGGCCATCCCCCCC